AGCACGTTCACACCATATTTACAAATTAAAAAAAAAAAATAATAATAAATAAGGTGATTTCAAATAATATAAAGCTAAATAAGAACAAAATAAAATATCTTAGTGAAGGAAGAAAATATAAATAGCAGTAATAATAGAATACAAATAAATGCATAAAATAGAATTAAAATTATCTTTAATTTACAGTAATGAAAATTAACATCTTAGACGACGGCATACCTAACATATTCAATATTAGAAACCAAATATGTTTCTGAAAAAATCGAATGTTTGATTAGTTTATAACGATAATTTATGTTTCATAAGATTTGTTGATACGTGTAGAGATTTTTATATCATGCAAAAAAAAAAAAAAAAAATAATAATATAATGACAGAAATTTAATGATTTAAAATTACGATATCATTGAATTAAGGTTATTAAAAATATTTAAATGATGTTCAACATTGGTAATAGAAAAGACTTTTCATTTCGAGGTTTTCGCAATATTTATACTAACACCTGATTAAATTGTGAGGAGGCGACCGATGTTTATGAAAAGCCTGGAGGTGAAGACCGTTATCGAACTCCAGAGCGGGCCAGTCCCTAATTCGACCTCGGCCCCCCTAATGGCCCTTAGGTCCGGCAAGAGTTTGCCAAGTTCGAGGGTGTGTGTGTGCCTCCGTGGCTTCCACGCCAAACTTCCGTCCTACCTCCCCTTGGGCAAAATATTTCTAAACCGATGAAAAACACTAAGAAGATGAGATATGTTATAGGCCAGCGGTGAAGAATTCTTGAAAGGTAATTATAGATTAAAGATATTAGTTATACAAATAATCCTATTTATAATTTCTATGATTACGACAAGGACTGTTGTATAAATTGAACCATAATAAATTTTTTTTTTGCCTTTAATTCTTCATCCGCACCTGTCATGGTAGTGATAATTAGCAGATTTGCTGTTAAGTTGAAAATGGCATGATAGGCATGACGAAGAATGGAGCCCAGCAGCACCTCTTCCCTGGCCTGTTTACATCTTAAAATCAGGAAAGGAGATCTCTCATCCAGCTCCTATTCAGTCGCCTCCTGATGAGCATTTGAGCCTTGGCCATGTCGTTGATAAATCCATTGTGATGTCCGTTTAGTTTTAGATGAAATCGGGAGTAAAAAGTACGTATGTGCTGGTCAATGGTAAATGCCATAATAAATTGAATCATAGTTGTTTAGCTAGTAAAATATTAGTTTATATTAGTATATTATGAGGAGATAAGTTTTTATATTTTATCGTAATCGTAATAATTGTATATAAATATACAAAAATATATATTTTTACAACAGAAAAAAGAATAGTCCAACTGGTCGAATATTTTGGTGAAGAAATTTAAAATGTTGACAATCACTAGCGAGTGATGCTCACACATATGCTAGTTAATGATAAAATGATATGGAGAATTGCCAAAAAAAAAACAGAGGGCCTGGCAAAAATCTATTAAAGTTGAGACAGAAGTCACTAGATTGGCAAATATAAAATAATAATACAAGTGTACAAATGAATTTACTCTAGTCCGTCTGCATTACGATATTTCACTTATAAAATAAATAATTATATTATATAATTATATTAATCACATATATAGTAAATATTTATATACATATATATATATATACACATATATATATATATATATATATATATATATATATATATATTATATATATATATATATATATATATATATATATATATATATATATATATATATATATATATATATATCGTATAATAACGTTACATACATTTTTCCAAAACTTTGAAGTTTATTTACTTTTTTCTGCTTGTTGTATTTATTATTCATGCACGAAACATATTTATATGCATATCGTGTTTTATTGTATCATTTGCTATTTACTATTGACATGTTTATATATTATATATTGTATACTATGCATGTAGTTATCTTTATTACTAGTGCTATTTATCACTATTTGTCATTTTATTGCTCACTGTATTTAGATGTATTATTTTGAATTATTAGTGGGGCATTATAATATATTTCATTGTTTATATTTAGGCATATAGTCAGATACTTGGTTGTTATCAGGGGAGGATATTGTCACTAAATCCTAATGAATTTTAATTTGTATATACGTTGTAAATGTTTTCCATATTAATTTGGTCATTGTTACCAATATAGCCAACTCTATCTGTATGGGGCATTCAGGAAAAAAAAAAAAAAAAAAAAAAAAAAAAAATATATATATATATATATATTGTAATACAAAGAATAAGCAACTACAAACTCACAAGCCTGTGGTGGGTAGTTCAATTTTAGACGTCAATCACAGCAATTGAAATGGCAGAATCTATCGTTGCTGTTGAGCTTAAACTATTTCTCCTCGAGAGAGTTGACATATGACATTCGAATTATATTTGGGCAATGGAATGTTTTCTCCAAGTTGCTTACTTGTACATAGGCATTTTTTATTTAAGGGCTTTTCTTCATAAATTGAAGTTTCCCTCAGCCAAACTCTTGCTTCAGTCGGTTCTTCTACTCCAGCTACAAATCTCTTCTTTTGACACGAGATCTTCCTCAAATGCCGTTTTTGGAATTCCTTCGCTATTCGTCCTTTTCATATGACTGTAACCTTCTTTCTTCCACAATTTCTTATATATTTTACATAGACATTTATTCTTTATATATATATATATATATATATATATATATATATATATATATATATATATACAAACTGGTGTGAATGTGATGTTACCACACTGTAACCATAGTCCAAGTAACAGAATGTTATATTATTCAATAAATAATTATTAAATCAAACTAGATAGAGAAGACGATTTGCCTAAGGGGATAAATAAGGAATATCAAAAAGAGTCAGCACGAATGATAAAGAATGTTTAAAGGATAATTGGACGGTTGAGTTATATCAAAGGGGTGGATAGAAGAACGCAAGGTTAGGAGATCAAGAATATAGGAAGGCTTATTGCTTCTTAGGAGCTCGAATATAAAGGCTTACAACTTGAATCAGAATACTATGCGAAAATTCCAGGATTTAAAAATTGTAACAATTATTTTTCGGTTTCCTTATTGCAATGCTACCAAGAACTCTTGAAAAGACATTAATTCGTTCTTCAACACACAGTTTTAACGTGTAGGTGGCTAAAAAGTTTGTTACGTGAAAGAGTGTAATTAATTTCATTAATTATGAGATTATTAATTTTAATTTTACTGATACAACTTAAAAAAAGGGAAAAACACATAAAAGAAGGAAACATCAAAAAGTTAAATATGTCTAGAATATAATGGCATATTTTAATTCACGGCCCAATAGCTTTATACGAAGAAGAAGAAAAATTTATAGATTATACACGTTGCTCCTTTTCTCTGCTTATCTATTTTCAGATATTTCAACTCCTTGGTGTAATGCAGTAAAGTAGTGTTTTTAATTCAGCAATCCTACAATGCCGGATATAGTCATAAGCCAGGTCTGGTATAAAGGTAGATATAATTACGCCATGTCCTATTTTCCTATTGTAGATGGTACTGGTAATGGTATTGGTAATAGTAATGGAATTAATTTGGTAAATGGACCTTTTTGCTAACTCCTGAACCTTCTTATTGTTATTACTCCTTTGAATTATGAAATAGATCCAGTTTCTTACTATATATAGCTGTAACAACAGCAAAGAAACATATTTGGTAGTCCAAACATGGTTGTAATTTATATAATTTATGATGTAGCTATATTCACTATTTTGTTCGATATCACTACATAGCCTATATTCAGATTAATTATATATTTTTTTAAATGATAACTTTTTTAGGTGTATTTAGAACTTTTTTTGTGGAGAGAGAATTAGATTGAGCCCTCAGATCTCCGATGTATAACGCTAAAGTCGACTGCAGTAGACTAATTGAAGTGTTTTTGAATATGGTTTAAAATATTTCTAAAACTAAAAATCAGACCTGCATATCGTTAGCAAGAGAACTATTCATCGTTTCATCCTGTTTGTAATGATCTAATATTCAAAATTATATCTTAAGGCAATGTCGTGTTAGAGAGGGGAAAAGAGAACAGATATTATCGAAGACCAAATGAAAACTAGTTTTTGAAAGATATGGATTAAAATATCTCAGTGATGTGAATGTGTTCATTTATAACTATAATAATTGTCCACGAGACAGAATATTATATATCTTAATTTAAAAAAAAACAAAAAAAAAAAAACTCTGAAACTAAAAATCTGACCTGCAGATTGTAAGCGAGCTAGTTATTCAGCAATTTATCTTCTTATCTTAACGCGATGCCGTGTTAGACAGGTGAAAAGAAAAAAATAGTGTCGAAAACCAAATGATAAAGAGCTTTATGGAAGATATAAATTAAAATATTTCAGAAACTAAAAATCGGACCTGCATACTGAAAACGAGGAAAATGTTCAATATTTCATCCTCTTTATAAGGAGCTATTATTTATAATTGTTATTTTATATTATTACTCTTGCCTTGTTGATGTTTTCGCTTCTAACGTGTGGTCTTAAGCACAAGTTTTATCCACTTAATTTTTTTTTAATTTATAAAGTATATAAAATGCGTTAAGTAAAATAAACAATAGTTTTTTTTTTTTGTTATGGCCTAAAGACTGAACAAACAATGGTCGTCAACGTGCGTTGACGACTTTGTGGATTCATGTCTAGTGCTCCAAACAAACAAACTAACTATTGTTTATTTTACTTAATGCATTTTATATACTTTATAAATAAAAAAAAAATTAAGTGGATAAAACTTCTTAAAATTACTAAGCTCTTCATTTACTATCCTGATTCTGCATGTATAACGATTTCTTTTTAAAAAATAACTATTTAGCTTCAATCGCTGCGCAAAAAGAACATTGACGAAATTTCAGTAACGGTATTAAAGCCCTCCCACTTCTATATTATTTACAGAGTATACTCGTTTTCAACTTTATTAATTATAAAAGAAAAAATATATATATTATAAACTAGTTTAATTGTACTCACCACTAGCTCTGCAGGTTAAGTTCGCAGTACCATTAAGCCTGAAGCCTGTTGGACAATGAAAGTGAACGCTCTGGCCTAGCCTAGTTCCTTCCATCCGCACTCGAAGTTGACCCAGGCCTGAGATCCTACCGCATTGGACGTCTGAAACGTAATTAATTAAACTTAATTCTTAATCGTACATCGTAATTATGATTTTATAGTATTATAATGAGTAGTAACCCATGACTATATATTTAATAATATGATATTTCTGTAAGTAATCCTAACAAGACCATTTATAATAAACTTTGTAATTTATTTATCATTAATTCATTTTATTAAATCGAATACATTAGGTTGGCAAATAAGTCCTTTCGGTTTTTTGTTAATGGTTATCTCACTATGATACACTTCTGATAAATTAATCTCAGGATGTTTCATGCTGTTGGTAATATGTCAATAACTATATCTGTTAATTCTTATTGAAACTAGCTTATTATTGTGTTTACTATTGGACTATGAATACGGAAGAAAATATCATTCCTTATCGATATATTTTCTTGTATTATTTTAATAAAGGTAAGCATGCGGCAGAAGCTCATAACAAATATACAGTGTTTATGGGGATGATACCTTAACCGAACCTGTCAAAATTGGTTTGCCAAATTTCATTCAAGAAATTTTGACATCAATGATGCTCAACGGTCTGGTCTCCCACATAAAATTGAAACGAGCAATGTTAAGCCATTGTTGATCAAAATCCCTCCCAATCAGTGCGAGAAATTGCTATGACCCTAAATGTGTCGCAAAAAAGCGTAGAAAACCATTTGCACAAGCCCTGCTATTTTTCCAGACTTGATGTTTTTGTACCTCACATGATCTTTTTTCGAAAATCACAAAAAAAAATTTATAATTTCAATACGATTTCAGATATCTACAAGAAATTTAGCAGGATTTTCGGGCCACATAAACTACACAAAATAACACCAACAGGACCTTCATAAACAAACTACAAATGGAGATAAAACATAAAAACCTATAACGAGTTTTTGTTTATTTATTTCTTATGTTGCTATTAAATAAAAAAAAATAACTTCATACGACTTTGAAGAACAATGGTTCAGCTTTCCAACGGATATAGTAACATCGGATTTGGATAATATCCTGAAGAGTTATGAATGGTCGGAAGGGTGTTGTGTTCCACCAAGACAACGCTAGGCCCCACACCTCAATAAATTATTGAGCCTCGGATGGGACCTTTTGCCCCACTCTCCCTATTCACCAGGCCTAGCTCCAAGTGACTACCACTTATTCCGGTCTCTGCAGAACTCCATGATTGGAAATAAATTCCAAAAGGAAGAGGACATCAAAACCATTTGGATCAGTTTCTTAACACTAAACTCCTGTCATTCTATGAACATAGCATTATGCAGTTAGACTAGCTAACTTGAGGACAGCTGAAAGAGAGAGAGAGTAATTGACCAGTGGGTGAGACTAATTGAGGAAGCCAAGACTCAGCGATGAGTTGTAGCGCCCATGAAGAAGAAGATTCAGATAAAGTATCTAATCGTTATAAATCTACCAACCTGAGTAAACATTATTAATGATGATATAATATTATATTTAAAATTATATCAGAAAATTACCAGTAACAAAGACAGGGAGGCTGTTGGTGAGCCCTCGTGGTGTAGAACACGTGAATACTCCTGAGTCCTGAGGTTTGGTGTAATATATGGATAACCTGTACTTCCAGTCTCTTTCTTCTGGTGCGATAGCCCAACCTGCAACATATATGAAAAATAATTTACTTACTAATGTCAAAGAAATACCAAATTTTTAAAAATTATAACGGAGCTCAAAAATATAATACGGGCATAAAAATATCATGAACATTATGTATAGGAAAACAAAATAAATGAAACAGTAAGTGTACATCATAATTAAAACTGTGTTGATACAAAAGTTAACACATGAAATAGTTTTGATCCATCTCGATCTGAAAATTATAGGGTTCTAGGATTATTAAATGATTAGCTTTGTTATACTTCAACTCATAGAATTTTCACGAAAGTTTTAATTTGTATAAATTTACCGTGGGGTACTAAAAAGGAATGATAGTTTTATGTCACTTGAGGTTTGTGCCGCCACATTTTGTAATTATTGTAATTAGGATCACCTGTTGCCTACAGCTGTACTGAGCATAAATTAATCCTTAATTATCAAAAACCATAAGTTATAGCACTGGTAGAGTAGTCTAGCAAGTAGAATTTTAAAATTCTCTATTTCTCCAATCTAAACGGCAAACAATGGTTGTTACCGCATAAAAACCAGAGGAGTGTCAAGATTTATTTTTCGGTGCTTCCAAAAAACAAATATTACTCGACCGAGGTGAGAATCTCAATGACCAAAGAATGCTTAAAAACGAAGTAAATAAATAAAAAAAGTAATCATAAGCAACATTATAGAACATTTATCTTTAATAAACTCCAATGGATCAACCGAATTATATTACGCTTAAAAAAAAAAAAAAAAGATTTATTTCTCGCCTTAAAAGAAATGTTTTTCAAAAAAATATAAAAAAAAAATGTTTGTTTTTTTTCAGAGACAGAGAGAGGCTATTAATCAATGAGTTAAGTATTTAAAAAAAACACTGCTGTCATTCCTAATAATTCCACTAAATTCTTGATAAGCTAGTTTTGTACATGGCATTATTAATTACAGTATGTAAAAGAAATACAATTAATTTAGGAGTGATCAGGTGGAATAATTTCTAATATTAATTAATTATATTAATTGAAGATATATCTTTAATTGATTGTGAGGTAATATTGTTGGTCATATGGGGCCAATTTGATTTCATGTCATTAAATTAATAAGAAATTGTAGAATATTTATGAGCAGTGAAGAGTATCAAATATATATTCTACATAACCAGCTAAATTATTGTTGCAGCTTATATATATATATATATATATATATATATATATATATATATATATATATATATATATATATATATATTAGTGTTGCAGCTTATATATATATATATATATATATATATAAGCTGCAAGAATATTTATGAGCAGTGAAGAGTATCAAATATATATTCTACATAACCAGCTAAATTATTGTTGCAGCTTATATATACTATATATATATATATATATAGTGAAAAAACATACTTCCATAATAATTTCTTTATTCGAACTACAATGTCTTTGTTACCCTCTATCTTCAGGGTTACGATCTCAAATAATTATTACACCTAACTTTGTTTTTTTTATTTTTACTACGTCCTAAAATTTGTTGTCATAAATTAAATAAAAAAATTGTTTTCAACACTTTTGGATAATAATCACAACTGGTTTCTTGTCAATATATATATATATATATATATATATATATATATGACCTTTTTTATTTTATTTATTATTACTTTAAGCTCTTTTACAATTTGAAACTTCTTAGAAAATAATAAATAAATTAAGTAAGTTTAAACATATAGAAATAGAAAAAAGAAGACTTCTGCTTTTACATTGGACGAGTTAAGTAAAAGTATTATAATATAATAATAATTATAATACATTTTTCATGAAAACAATATAATTTTCTGGTTCGTTATTTTCAAGAGATAAACCACGATGAAGCTACCATACCGTATCGAAACCCAATATTGGTTTTGGGTGCTCCTGCCTGCCAGTGGCCAACGAGCTAATTGGTAACCTGCCATGGCAGGGGGGCGAATGGAGGGGGCTGGTCCCTATCGTTTGGGCCAGGCCACCTTGTTAGCCAATCCTCCTGTTATTAATAAGTATAACAGTCAATTATCCAATCCCATGGATCTATGCCCATTTCTATTTTTTTTTTTCCGAACCTCCAAAGCTTGTCAATATCCTACCGCATTACCTAAATTTTTTAAAAACATATTTATTGAAATTTACAACTGTATTACATGAAAAATACAAGTAAATTTTAAATTAGTATCATGGCATGTACAACATGAAGAGAAACTATCCATTGCACTATAATTATAGTTATATATTAAGCCATTTATTTTCAGACACCTCGGAATGTTATCAGGAATAGAAGAGGAAGCAAGGTTAGAAACAAGAAGGTTCAGAAGTTTATTGTGGAAGGACAGGTACCTAAAATTAAAAAAAAACAAAAAACATAATGCTCTATAAATGTTTTAAACTTTTAATGCACTTAGAAGCAGTTCAATATATTGTTGTCCTTTAAGAGATCAGCTTAATTTCACGTTATATTTTGGTACGCACTGGGACGATAATTAATATTCACATTATATGTATGCGAAATGACAAACTTAAGCACACTAATCTACAAATATTAAATCTTTATATTTTATTCCTGAAATGTGTTATCGTCTGTATACCATCTTTGTTAATTCTTCATCAAAACCAATAAGGCATCATTTTGTAGATCATTTCGCAGAAGAGTCTGGGAAAAAAGATATGAAGAAAAAGAAACTTTAATTACGTATTTTTGAATAATAATACAGTTTATTGTGAACTTTTAGAAATTTTGCCATATTCCTTACAAAATTTAAAAAAAAAACATATCATCGAATCAAATCGTAAATCCCATTTTTAGCATAGATAGAACCAATTGTAATTTATATGTTTTGTAAGTTACATGTTTTGGTTTACCATTTTGAATAGGAATTAATTTCTCCCTCACATAATACATTGCATTAACTTACAATAGTTCAATATTATATTGCCATTATTTCACGGACCAATTTAACATACGAATTATTCAACTAGTATTACTCATTATATCACAAAGCATTAAAAATTGTAATTTATAAAATAACTCTTAACAGAAGTGGGAGATTAATAAAATAAGTTGTGTTCAAACGAATTAGCTGATACAAATTGAAAATTAGTGCCTACGATTTTCCTTAGTCATATAATAATTTTTTAAGGTTTAAGAAACTAAAATTTAAGCTCACAGAATTTAAGCTTTAAGAATGAATTTTATATCGAAAAATATACAAAATTATGCCCTCAATAAAACTTTTGGCTTCAAAAGGACTATAAAATAAAATACATATGTTCTTTGCCATGACGATCAATTTCAGGTATAGTGTTTCTATTGTGTGTAAGTTTCGGAATACTATAAGTAACTTTAACTTTGTTTTTTCTAGACAAAAATAAATAATAAGTTGGAAACAACATAGAATAAATGTGTAACCTAGGCTATATCGTATTTAACTAATTGTAAGCTGAGTAATGAATTCATTTACTTATTTATTTCAAAAGTCTATAAGCCAAAATCAATATGTTAACACATTGTATTTATTTCATTATAATTGTAAGATGCCAGTTTTAATTAGTTTTATCAATAATAATAGTAACAATAAATATTAAGCAGGCAAACATTAATTTATAAGAACAAAATAATAGAATACATTAGTGAACTAAAGATTTCTTATTTTTTAGGACATGTGATTCTATTCTTTAAATTATAATATATATTTATTTCACAATAAATAGCCTACTAAAATGAAAAAAAATAAATAACTCAGTTTCCAGTCTATTTTTTCCACGACATTTTTTTATATTCATTAATTAAACTTGTTTTTTAAACATTCATACATTTTAAATAGCACAATGGAGGAGATATGCTTGATCGTAGATGTCATCAAGATGTTGGGTGTCGAAGTTTCGGCCTAAGTCACTTGTCTCTGGCATTTCAATCTCGTCACTCTGATGAAGACCAATAAGGCAAAATAGAACGTCAAAAAAATAAAATAAATAAAATAAATATTACACTGACGTAAATTATTTTGTAGGTCTATCAAATTTATTGATAATGTTATTGTGAATAAAGCAAGTTAGGAAGTATGCTCACGTAAGTTGTTATTCACAAACCTTGCAGAAGAATTATTTATTTAACATCTATCTTTCCCAGCCTAGGTGGCGGTTCTAGCTGTCCTGAATTTGGAACATTCTAGAAACAAAAAATGTTCGCTTGGGTAGGAGAATATCTTCAGTACGTGAACTCTTGTCTCACAAAGGAAACGTTTATATTTAAATAATAATACATGGAAGAGTGTGTGTCTACCACCACTTCTGCTACCTGCATCTTACATGTATTCAAGAATAAGGAAATGTTATAAGGCAATGGATGAAAGTGTTAGGGCAGAAGACCGGCATTGATAACACGTATCAATTCAAAATGCTGTGTAAGCTATTTAAAATTTCAAATAACATATTATTGACTAATTGATTTATTATTATGCACTGCAGTCAGGTCAATAAGGTCTTATTATTAATAAGTGATTATATCATGGGATGAAAAGATTTTATTTCCATTCCTATCAAGGAAGTCTAAATTTTCTTATTGGTAATATTTTATATGAGGATATATAAAAATACAAATATAACTATATATTATGAGGGTATGTATAGGTATACTATATACCTATACATACAATATAGGGTATATAAATATAACCTATATTATTAATATTTAGTTTTAGTAAATCCTAAGCTTAAAATAATACTAATAAAGTGGTAAATTATTTATTTCTGTAGTATTAGTAATTATTTATTTATTATTGAGAAAAATTCTAACATATTTGTACCTAATAGGCGATAGATTTATGATAGGGTCACTATAATGAATTAGCAGATAAAGTATGTTTGAAATTTTTCCGCTCTTTTATACTCTCCGACTGCTTCCATTCTGAATAATTATGTAAAGTGAATTTTTTTTTATCTATACGGGAGTGGGATGACCAAGGACGGTTTTAATTAATGTAAAAACAACACAATATTTATTTATTCAACTTCGTTTCAGTAAAAAAACACGGGACAGAGATTGGAGCACAAACATAATTAAATAAAACGTGACAATACAGATAGCGCTAAACCATATTTATCGAGATTATTAAATCCCTAAAATACAAAATAAACATTGAATTCTGTTCGGCCTCATTTCGTGTTAATTTTTTTTTAAAAAACATGTCAAAACAACAGTTCTCCTTTTAAGCAATAATACAGATTATTCTTATTTTTTCTTTACTATTATTCTATTATTTTTTTATATTATTCTACTACAAATTTTGTGAAGTGAATTTGAGTATGCCAGTGATGCTGAGTGAATTCAAGTTTTTTTTATTATATGTATGACCCATACATTTTTCTTAATGTTAGCCTTATTTTTTTTCTGTTGGCATAGTCTATTTTAAATTATCTACATATGACTATGAACAAACCAAATCTTGGTGGGGCATCGATAAATAAATTAATAAGACACAATTAGAATAAAAGTTTAAAAAAAAAAAGTATTTACACATTAATAAAGTGTTATATATCTTCAAAATCTATTTCAATTTTTTTTTTTCATATTTTTTTCAATTATTCTTTTCAGAACACTGGTGACTCTAAGAAGTATGAGCTTAATTCAGTGTCTGTTGAATTATAAAACTTTAAAATCAAATTTTGGGAGATGACTAATATTGAAGACAAAATAAATTCAATCATAATATTTGTTATATACTTTGTTAAATAAGTACAAGATACCAGGCAAGAAATAAGGAACTAGAAACGTACATACCATCATAGATTACTGGAAAATAGTGACATACAGAACGTGGTCGCAAGGGATATTTCCTACTCACATAGATGATAGGAGGACGAAGGATCTCCATGACTTAAATATTAGATAGACTCAGGGCTTTTGTTTCTCGTGTATTGATGTGTTTTTCATTTGATGCTATTCAATAGTGTTTAAGTTATGCGCGAATAAGGAACACAGTGAAACAAAGAAAGGAAATCATGAATGTCACCGGAGTCAATTGGCATCAGTAATTATTTTAATATACGAGAAAATATTTTATTGATTTATGAGCCGGACTTGAAAACGGCATTATTCAGCATAGGATCAAAGATCTTTACTGAACCACTCAGCTCTTAATGTATTATCAACTTTTTTTTCTAAGAATACAGAATAAGAAATTAATATAAATAGTACCGTGAAAGGAAGTTTGAAATAAAATCATGTTAAGTAACGCTACTCATTACAGATAACAACTTGAAGTATTATTTACAAACATTAAGTGTAAAATCGACAGCCCATGTGAGATGCTTCGAGCTGCCACCTATTCAAGGGAGGATGAAAAATGTGCCAAATTATAATGCACTAAGTAGAAGCTGGATGTAAGGTTGTTCAGGTAGGGATAAACTTCATTTGCCTGTAGTAGTTGGTTGTTAACCAGGTCATTGGAAGGTGATTAATGACCATGAATTTAAACGAGGGAATAACCTTAAACACTATCGAAATATCTCACTTTTCATGTAGGTATTAATCATCCTTTATTAACCACGAAATTTGTTTTATCTAATCGTTTATTATTAAATGTTTAATCAAAATTAAAATTTATTTGTGGTTGAGTTAAGCTAAAATTAATTAATTATTTTTAATGAGTGACATAATTATCGTGTAAATAATAAATGTAATTATTTTCTATGTGTCAAATGAATTGTTACACTAGGACTTGGATATCCAAACTGTTTCAAACAATGCAACACAATCACGTAAAAATCAACATATCCACCAGAAAGTTACAACATGAATCCGAATACGAAATTGGACATTTAAGGCGGTAGAGAAGATACTTTCTAACTTAACCCTTTCGCAGAAGTGCACCGATTTACTTATTGCATAAAACACTTGGAAGATAGCAAATACTAACTATGCTAGATTAAATATTTATATTAATAAATAAAAATTTTCAATACGTAATATTTAAACAATATAAAATTCAATATTATTCTTTAAATTATCACGGTATTAGATAATATTAGATTGCTTTATATTCTTTGAAAGTTATTTACCAATAACAGTATTTTATTTTACATCTTACATTCAGAGAATTCTTCGGTTTACCAGCACCATATTCATCTCTACAATTACAACATACTCGTCAATAACATTAACAATTCGTATATGCTACATTACTTTCTAATTGTCATGTGACTATAATCGTATTATGCCGTTTCTTTTTCCTTGTAAAAAATAAAATAAAATTTAGTGAGACGTCATTGTGAAAATCCCTGATTTTCATTTTCCAGATATTAAAACAAAAATCATGTAATTTATAAATCGTACTTTTGATGTAAGGGCCACCATGCAAGAACTGGACGCAGAACCTTCAATGGATATTTTAAAACTTTGTTCCAAAGTTTTAAGTATTATTATGAGTTAGGAAATTAGGAATTGAAAATAAAATGGTTTAAAGGTTTTTCTAAACTTTCGGATATCTCACACCCTTTTAAGATCGTCTCGGGAATAATCAAATAAAGACTTAACTGTAGTTCACCTAGATGCTTAAGGTACCTGGAGATGTACCTCTCGATCTCCTGCTGATGCAAGAAGATGCATTGAAGCATAAATTTAAGGAAGAAGGCTAAGCGAATGTTAAACTGAAAACTTACAAGGATTCTAAGAAATGGTAACACATTATTCGGTAGGATACGATAAAAGAGGAGAATCAGCAGTGCGTGACAACATCCAGAAATCATCTCCTCGGTCAAATACTTTTTGCTATTTCTCTTAGGCCATGAGAATTTGGGGGCTAAGCTTTACGATTTCGGGGATGATAGCTACTTTGCTGCGGCGACTTGGTGACTTCTGAGCACATAATTATAAACACCGGTTTTGAGGCGTATAGGATCAGAATGATGAGGGAAACTGGATTCTTTTTCCTCTCAGAGAGTTATTTCCCTCAGCTGGTGTACATGAATAACTATCCGTACTTTACTTATTTTGAGTACGATTGGAAAATAGCACTGAAGCGAGAAGCTTTTAAGGGATTATAACTTCAAAAACTTTTAGGGTAAGATTAACATATTCTCATAAACTTTGATTTATTTTAACACCGAAACACTTGTTGCCGAAAGGCTAAGAAGAAAATAAAAAAAAATCAGTTTTTTAATAACTTAGTTTGTAATGGAATATTACAGTTTTTAATACTTACTTTAGTATTCATGAAAATTCAAACGTAAGAATACTTGATAGAAACATGATCCGATTTTCAACAAGAGCCGGACCAGTAGGATTGAACTAATGAATCGGGGACTTGGAAGGGGTGGGAGGGGATCTCCACTGCTTTACAGCCTCCGACATTATTTAGCAGGGCAGCCAGTTTGCCTGAGAGGGGCCCAGTTATTTCCATTCTCAATTCATGTCCCGCCGTCGAACCAGGTCAAGGAGCGAACGGCTTGTTTGAATTGACTCCTTGCCTATCATAGTCTTCGGCGAAACTATTCATGAGGCGCACATCAAATATTGTCTCTCGAGGGAGAAAGTTAGACACATTTTAAATCATATATTCAATGTGGTTCTAGCAAGATATGAGGAAGCCTTCTAAATATTACCTTAGGCGGCTAAAGGATATCTGGAACGGGCGTTTCCTTATGAATATTTCTTTTTTCAAGTTTCTTTTTACTCTCTCTGTTTTTTTCATTTTCACAGAAAAAAAATTGAAAATAAAATCTTGGCTTTGTTGAATTCAAGATAAATGCATTTCAGCCTTGAGAACCAATGGTGACAAGAAATACTGCTTCGGTACAACATGTTTTTATTTTTAAATACAATAATGTATTTATTCTTCTACCTCGAAGAAACAAAAAATAAAAATAAAATGTTGAAACCACTCAGATAAAAAAACAAACAAAATTTACAG